CGATTGCTTTGAAATTTTGATACGTTTCTTTCGAATAGGCACGTCTTTTCATATACCTACTATATCGATGCCACCCCTGTGACAAAAACATGCGTGTTTGAAAAACAGCGCCATCTGTTGCACATAGCAACATGCACAGTATACTATACATGTCACGAATTCCTTTTCAATGTTTCCAATTGTATTGATAATTTTCATAGATACTTTTTTTTATCGAATTATTATGCGTGACATTGTGTTTGAATTTAACCGTTTACCATACCATTCATTTCGTAAGTGTATGTATAGATATAACACTTAACATTTAAAACTTTCTTGAAAAACGGCACCATCTGTTGCATGTAAGAGCAACATAAATGCTATACTAAATATGTTACAATTCCATTTCAGCATTTCTGATTGCATTGATAAATTTAATTTTTATAGATCTATTTATTTTCATTTTCATTTAATTATTTTGTGTGAATTGTGTTGGAATTGAGCTGTGTTTACCATACCGTTCATTTCACGAGTATAGTTTTTTTTTTTAACATTTCATTTTCATTTTATTTTTTTTAGCCGTTTCTTATATTTCAGATGGGAACATCAGTTCACTTTGTCCAATTTTCTGATTGGAATATCAGACAATTTGGGAAGGTATCTGACGAGGGAGTAGGGATGATGAGGGGACGGAAGCGAGATGGTAGGCGGACGAGGGAACAAGGGCAGGGGTAATGGTGGGAATGGACGAGGGAGTTCAGGATGGTTGGGATGAGGGTATGGAGAATGGTGGGGAGGACAAAGGGACGGGAGTGGGGCATGGTGGGAAGGAAGAGGGGTGGTGGAGTGGGGAATGGTTGGGAGGACGAGGAGACGGATGATGGGGAATGGTGGGGAGGACTGGGGGAATATATACAACTACGGGCTCGCCATAGCCCATGCTACCTGGAACTTTTTGTTCCAGGAAGCGGATCTTAACAAGACTGGGGGAGAGGGAAGGTTGTTGTGGCTCTACTACGCACATGTGTTGCCGAGCCACAGCAACGCGTGGCTGGGTACTGCTAGTCCAAATAAAAATTTAAATGTTAGTTTGTTCAAAATCGCTAATATCAAGTTCTTCGCCGATTGCTTTGAAATTTTCACGAAGTTCCATTTGCATCCTAGCAGGTTTTTATATACATACTATATAGATGTCACATCGATGAAGGGTTTTTTTTTTTAAGTTTTTCGTATGTTTCTCCATGTGAGGGAAATCTTCGAAACCTCTTTACCAATTGCTTTGAAATTTTGACCAAGTTGCATTCGAATAGGCGCAAGTTTTTATGTATCTATGTAGATGCCACACCTTTAACTGGTAAAAAAAATTTAAACAGCACCATCTGTTGCATGTAACTGCAACACACGCTATGTTATGATAGCATTTCAATGATTGCACTAATGTGTTTAATTTTTGTATATCAATTTATATTCATTTTTATTTAATTTTTGTGTAACATTGCATTGGAATCTAGCCGTGTTTACCATACCGTTCATTTCGTGAATATAGTTTATAATTTTTGTCCATATCTTGTTTTAACTTAATTTTTTTCCAGCACCTATACATTTTTCTTATATTTCAGTGATGGAAACATCAGATCATTTAATGTTCCCAATTTTCTGATGGGAATATCAGATCATTTGGGAATGCATCGGACGAGAAAGTGGGAAAATGGTGGGAGAGGACGAAGAGACGGGAGTGGGGAATACAAGAGGACTTGGGAGGGGGAAATGGTGGGGAGAACTGGGAAAAGGGGGTAGGTTGTGGCGGCTCGGCAATGCACATGTGTTACCGAGGCACAGCAACGTGTGGCTGGGTACTGCTAGTATAATATATTTATATTAAAGAAAATTCTCGTTTTGAATGAATAGCGTGTACAGATTTATGAATGCGTCTGAGGTCTACCGTTGGATGTAATGGACTTTAGTCGAGGACGGGTTGAGAAGTGTATCGCAACACGAGCACGAGACTTGCCAGAGAAAGAGGGAAGACTGCGAACTTCTTTCTTATATACTAGGTACATTGGGGGTTAAGAACAGAAATGAAGTCTTTACATTCTTGTAAAGCTACTAGCACACAGCTTTTCAAACTTCAGAAAAAGACAAATGATCACTTTTCAAATTTAGGATGGCTTCCTCAAATTTGTAGTGCACACATGCGGTGGCGGCACGGTGGGCGTCACCGCAATTCATGCAGAGCTTGGGAGATTAGCACCGTCTTAGGATGACCCAAGATTTCACACAAGAGGCATAAAGACTATTCATGCACCTGAAGGTGTTATGTCTGAATCTCCAGCACCCGCTGCAGAGTAGAGGGGGGGGGGGGGGAGGATGTACTCTTTAATGGAGCATCTGGCACCAGGAAGTATGGTAGTAGATCCCTTCCAACTTTACCTGCACAAAGCGAGGAGGCTGACGACGGCTGCGAGGGGGTGGAGTGAAGGTATCTGGAGGATAGAATGACTTTGGGTGAAGGATATATCCTCTTAACAGTCTTTCAGTTCCCTATCACCAGGTGTGGAAGAACTCTGCTAATGCTGGCATTCAACCGGGCATTTTTGGAGATGCGAACTGGGGGTCTCCCCAATGCAGAATAATCAAGCCAAGTAGTAAGCCGCTTCCTAAGAAATTGGCTGCAACACTGGTTCCAGTACGGGTGGAGGGGGGGGGGTTAAATGTGACAAACCGCATCCACCGAAACGATGCTTAGAGGAATAAATTAGGAAGAGTAGGGTCAACATGACCAAGATCGACATACCAAGTCCATGTAGCAGGACCAAACAGACTGGAGAAAGAGGAAATTGGAGGGGTCGTGCGGAGGTGACTGCGCCGAGCACCCCTGGTAAGGGATAAAAGGGGCAGTTGTGATAACTAGAGATGGCCACGTCAGGTGACGAGGTGGTCACCACTGTTGACTTGGGGCTCAACCCCGCCACAGAAGTGGGAGGGGAGTGGAGTCAGTCGGTAGTCAGAAATAGCATGGTCAGGGCACAAAGTAAGCAGGGGCTACAGAGCCCGACCTTCCAGTATAGTCCGACTGGCACCTGGTCGCCTACTCCACGAGTAGGCCTAGTTAGAGGCTAAGAAAATGCTTACCCGAGAATAGGAGGCCCCTCAGGGGTGCATGGTGGATATACACACCCCTGCAATCATCACTGATAATGTCAGTCTAGAGATTGGGCTCGGCATCGAAAGGCCGAGTTTGGAAATAAAATTCCCCTCCCCTCGCTCAACTACGTCAGGTACCACAGTTCTATGGGAGAGAGCGAACCTCCCCAAACACCCGGGGTCAAAACAAAGACATCAGAAAGAACATTCAAGAGTGGCAAAAAGACAGCAGGAAGGGAACAATCTGAAAGAGGGGGGGGGGAAGAAAAAAGTAAAAACCACCAGCAAAATTGAGACTACAGCAGCAGGAGCATTAGGCTTCAGAAGAACAGGGCAAGCCGGCTCAAAGAGCATCATACTCTGGCAACCGCCATCAAGCCCATCCCCACCTGCAACAAACGGAAGTTTAAGACTGACGGTAAGCAAGCGATTATCCACGGGAGACATATCCCGTCAACGAGGCTAACCATAGCCCATGCTTCTTGCCCCGCTCCTGTGCCAGGTAAGTTACGGGCTCACCATAGCCCGTGCTACTTGGAACTTTTTCCGAGTAGCTTAATCTATAACAACAACAACAAGCGATTATCTGAACATCACTTTTGTTCTGCCGTGTGGAAATGTGCACATTACACCACATTAGATGAAAGGGTGCCATGTTTACAGACTTCCAGGTAATTTTTGCCAATTTTACGCACCATTACTGATCCAGAACCTAACCCTTGCCTCTTTACCGATTTGAATGGCACGTTTGCAATTCTTGGTGTCAAGGTGGTGTCAAGACATTGTCTACCAGGAATCACCGTCAGCGAGGAGTTACAGCTTTACGCATCATTACCTTTGACCACACTAGGCTTTAAGTAAAGAAAGCTCTTTGCATTAGATGCAAGATTGCTTAAGAGATAAACGAGTTATTAAACTGTTTATGACTAGCACTTTATCAAGGCCACATTAATGAAGTGGCTTTCAAATACCAATAGTTCCTAGTTCCTATTTTACCCCAAGCTCTATTCATTTAATAGAACTTAAAAAGATGCTGCTTTACTGTGAATAACTTTGAAGGGGTTCTGACGCTCAAAGTGAGTGGAGAAGGTGAAGCCAGTGTTATGAACATCTTACAGAAGTAACCTTTAACAATCCCTAATTGACGATTTTTATCCATTTTAACCAAACCCGAACCAACATTGAAGTTTTCGGCCATCGCACGCCATTATAGCCAGAGAAGAAAGTCTACAGTAAACGTTTTGAGGTAATTATAAACCAAGACAAACTTTTATATTTAGTTGCATAAATAAGATTTGCAGTATGTCAAAACTTTCGATTAACAAGTGTATACAGTTAGAAAAGCGAATTACATGGGTGTAGTGGGTATTTAGTTTAAGGAATATTATCAAAAGGATGTAGAGAATATTATGGGCTGAAGTGTGACATTTCATGTGCAGCAACATTCAAGGAACCATGTTTTTACAAAACATGAGAAAAATTTCTGGAAGTTTAAATTTCAAAATTTACACAATAGACCTTATTCTCCAACTATACTAAATAGAACAGTAGCAAGTTTTTGCTAGCACTGGAAGGTGAGGCAACAAGATATGGAACGCAACACTTCCATGGAACCCAAGGTTAGCGAGTAGTTTGAACTAGCAAATTTATAGTTCTAAAGCTAATTAGGACGTCTCTTAAAGATTAGATTCTTAAACTAAACACCAAGTGACCGGGAACTGTCGGTCCGTCCTGGACCTCTCGTCAAGGAATGACAGCAAAAGTATATAATACAAGATAGAATGAGGTTTAGGGTGGGATGGGTTAGAGATTTAAAAAATAAAGGCATACAAGTAAGCCTAATCATTTTAGCGGAAATATTGCCGAAGACTACTTGCCTTTGTTTTCCCTGATGGTGGGGAGAAGGGCCCTAGTGATCTCTATGGAACCCGTTAGGTTAACTTTGACCTGATCATCCACCATGGGGCTCGTATGCCACTCCAGGAAAGCGTACGTGATCATCGCGGCGTTGTTGACGAGACACCACAACACTGGGTGGGAATGGAGAACAGTCATTATTAGGAGATAGTCACAGTGTGGGGGGGGTTGTGTCTGCCATGACTACCACCAAAGCATTCTAGTGTAATCTTTAAAGTTTTAGTTTATAGCAGCCGATTTGAATTTATAAACGCTCAACTTAAAATAATGCATGTCTAAATTTGCGAAGACCTTAGCCATTTAAGACAGCCAGCCGCCACGATAGAACCAGTCACTGGTTTAAAAATTACTTCCCAAATCTTGCCTCTTGTGTCTGATGGGAGGCTTGTTCCCAGGGCATTAATGTTTGTCGTTTCACAATGTCAAAGTTAAATTACACTTTTGTAAATGTTCCTACCCTTGAGTTTAATCACTTTTCTTTCAAACTAATTTTATCCCAAGTTTACATCAGCAAATTCTGCCTGATGGGATCCGATCCTAGTACGTAATTACTAGCAATAGAATATAAGCGGAAGATTGCACTGGTGCCCAGTTCCTCCCACCCCCCTTTTCCCCACTTAACCGATAATTCCAAGTAGTGATGATTTAAAGGTCATTTTTGGAAGCCAAGAAAAACTATATAGCAATCGGCTCCAGAAAGTTGGCTATAGATACTTCCGCAAAATCTTAAAACTAACAATTTGGACACATTAAGCCCCAAAAAAAAAAAACACTTGCCTTTATTTTCTTCCTTTAGTTGTCGTAGCTTATCCAAGAGAAAATCTAGCATATTGGGTTTGGTGAAGTCAAGATAGACAGTGTGGACCCCAGCTTGACGGAGTGTGACTGCGGCCTCTCCCTCCAGATCCAGGCAAGTGGCCACAACCGTCCATCCCCACGACCTGGCACATTTGGCCAGCTGGTAGCCAATACCACTGTCACACCCAGTGATCACCACTATCCGCCCGCTAGAACGGACTTCCCTACATATGAGGGCGTTTAGTCTAGCACTAGTAAAATATGCCTTGCTGAGCACACTAGGCGCAGCCGACCAAGCCGTGTTGGGATGCATCATGTTCACAGGTCTTCACGTCCACGGACCACTTCCTACTAATCACTGGATTCGCAAACGGGAACTGAAAAAACAAAATTAGGTTAGAGATGAATAAAGAGTGATGGATATACACAGTAATTAGAGAAAGTTACCTGTACGTAACGAAACTTTCCACAAGGCAGGTACGAGTTAGTCACCTTTGAAGCTGTGAGCAAGGTCATGAAGACTTTAGTTTTGAAAGGATCACCAATTACTTTTCATCGAGTTATGCATCCACTGTCAGGTGCCTGAAACACCTACTGCTTCAATCATAGTGCCAGAGTAAATTTCAAACAAGTACTTCTCACTTAAAATACCCTTTACCATCTAGCATATATTAGGTGACCACTCGTTACAAGAAAAATATCAAATAATCAAAGCACTGGCCAAATATCTCCAAGTCTACCAACAAATTGGGTCACATTTGACCCGTGACACATTCATACCTGGCGCCACCAACAGCTAAACAAATGCCTCGTCCCAACACCATGATCAGCTGATGCCATGAACACAACATACCGCCCTACAGAGCGGCAAGTCTCCCTCTAACAACCTGATTTAGTCGCCGCGCCTATATCTACAGCACAACGCAACAAACTTTTGAAACTCTTATCCTCTACATAAACGCGTCTCCCAACATCTGTACTGGTGCAGTCATCGAGGGACAGGACAAACCCTTCATGCAAACTGCACCCACTATCAAGCAGTAGTTTAAAAAGAGAAAAGAATTAAAGTTAGTTATAACCATTATCCACGGATGGTGGCGAAGGGTCACTTATTCCCATTCTGAACAGCGATTAAAATGCCAAAAAGAGGGGGGGAGATTTTATTCTCAACAGCCTCAATTTTAAAATTGTCAGTAATAACATAACCACTCTAGCAACACGTCACAACAGTATTCCCCCCCTATAGTTTACTTTGTACATTGTCTAGTATAAAAGTTTATCTTTGAATACCATCAGTCTATTTCCGAAGCTATTTAATAAATTGACCATCCGTAGACAATGTGACCAATCAGAGTCACAGCCTTTTATATCAAGTTATAGTAAGACACCCGCCCCCTGGCCAGGTCTACGAGGAAATAAAACCCCTCGAAGAACAAACTCAGGACAAACCTACTTCTCCAACTGCCAGTAACACTCTCAAGAGTCCAGTCCGGTGCTGCCCCACGTCACCTTGGTTCAGCTTCACACTTGACTGTTCTGAACGTCCCAAAACTTCCAACACACCAATCAACTCGTCCATCAAAAAAAAAAAAAGTCCATTCCATGCACCCGCCAAACCCCCTATTTATGAATAAAAAGCGGTTTACACATGACTCACAAGTGCAACCCGTCCTCTACTCAAGTTCATTACATCCAGCGGTCGATCCCACTGATGTACTCATAAATTTTGACATGCTGTTCATTCAAATCAGGAATTTTCTCAAATATACATTAATATTATAATATATAAGCATATTGTGCATATATATATATATATATATATATATATATATATATATATATATATATATATATATATATATATATATAGACATAGGGTAGGTTAAATTAGATATTTAGGTTCTGTTGGCGATTATTTGTATTTGTAGTACGTGGGTGAAACATTTACAGGGTTGTGGTTCGAAAAAAATTCGTCACTGAAGCACTTGTTCCGGAAGTGTTCGGACGTCATCAGTTGTGAGTCGTGTGTAAACCGTTTTTCATTCATAAACAGGGGGTTTGGCAGGTGGATGGAATCACTTTTGGGTCTTTGTTTGGAGGACGGGCTGACAACTGATGACATCCGAAGACGTCTGGAACAAGTGCTTCGCTGACGAATTTTTTCAGCCCGTCCTCTAAACAAAGACTCAAAAATGATTCCATACATCCGCCAAACACCCTGTTTATGAATGAAAAACGGTTTACACACGACTCACAACTGATGACGTCCGAACACTTCTGGAACAAGTGCTTCAGTGACGAATTTTGTTCGAATCACAACGCTATAAATGCTTCAACCACGTACTACAAATACAAATAATCGCCAACAGAACCTAAACACCTAACCTAACCTATGCCTATATATGAACAATATGCTAATATATTATAATATTAATGTATATTTGAGAAAATTCCTGATTTGAATGAACAGCATGTCAAAATTTATGAATACATCTGTGGGATCGACCGCTGGATGTAATGAACTTGAGTCGAGGACGGGTTGCACTTGTGAGTCATGTGTAAACCGCTTTTTATTCATAAATCAGCCCGTCCTCCAAACAAAGACTCAAAAGTGATTCCATGCATCTGCCAAACCCCCTGTTTATGAATGAAAAACGGTTTACACACGACTCACAACTGATCTCGTTCGAACACTTCCGGAACAAGTGCTTCACTGACAAATTTTGTTCGAACCACAACCCTGGGCCGGTATTGGAGTTTGTGGGCCGGTATTGGAGCTAGACGTTAACCCAGCGATAGGTGCAGCCCGTCCTCCAAACAAAGATCCAAAAGTGATTCCATGCACCCGCCAAACCCCCTGTTTATGAATGAAAAGCGGTTTACACACGACTCACAACTGCTGACGTTCGAACATATCCGGAACAAGTGTTTTACTGACGAATTTTGTTCGAATCACAACGCTATAAATGCTTCACCCACGTACTACAAATACAAATAATCGCCAACAGAACCTAAACACCTGACCTAACCTAACCTATGCCTATATATGCACAATATGCTAATATATTATAATATTAATTTATACTTGAGAAAATTCCCGTTTTGAATGAACAGCATATTAAAATTTATGAATGCGTCTGTGGGGTCGACCGCTGGATGTAATGGACTTGAGTCGAGGACGGGTTGATAGGTGACGTAAAAGGGGTTTTCGATGTGGATTCAAAATATAACCTATTTAAAAATATTCTAACCAAAGCCCAGGAATGTAGTATACCATATAAATTGAATAGATCGAATACTAATGATCCAAAGTGGATAACAATGGATCTGAAGAACCTTATAGGTAAAAAGAGAGCGTGGTACAAAAGGATTAAGAATGGAGAAGTCTGTTTAGAACAGGAATTCGTACAACTGGTTAGAAATACTAAAAAAGAGATAAGGAAAGCAAAAAGAAACCATGAAGTTCGCATAGCAGAGCAAGCAAAAACAAATCCTAAAGGGTTTTTCCAATTATACCGGACAAAGATTAGGGAAAGGATAGGTCAATTAAAAACTGAGACAGGTCAAATAACAGATTGTGATGAAGAGATGAGTAGTATTTTTAATAAATATTTTGTATCTGTATTTACTAAAGAGGAACTTAACAATATGCCTTCAGCCGAACAAGTCTATGTGGGTGGGGACGAGGACAGGTTGACGAGTTTAGCAGTTACCAGGGATGATGTTCATAAACAAATAGTAAAACTCAAACCAAACAAATCCCCAGGGCCGGATGAAGTGTTTGCCAGGGTGCTTAAAGAATGCAAAGAGGAGCTTTGCGACCCACTGTCTACCATATTTAATAAATCAATAGAGTCAGGCAGAGTGCCAGAGTTATTTAAGAAAGGAGATAGATCACTTGCGTCAAACTATCGGCCAATTAGCCTAACGTCTATTCTGGAAAAGTTACTTGAATCAATAATTGCAAATTCAATTCGTCTCCATCTTGAAAAACATAAATTAATAAATGAGTCGCAACATGGTTTTACAAATGGCCGTTCATGTTTAACAAATTTGCTAACTTTATATTCCAGCATAGTTGAGGCAGTTGATAGTGGTAAGGATTGTGATGTTGTGTACCTTGACTTTAGCAAAGCTTTTGATACAGTGCCACATGAAAGACTAATTAAAAAAATAGAAGCTCATGGTATTGGGGGTGCTATATTAAGTTGGATTAGGGCATGGCTATTCCAAAGGAAACAGAGAGTTAGTATAAATGGGGTTAAGTCAGAGTGGGATAATGTTGTTAGTGGAGTACATTATGGGAGTACATTAGTACATTAGGAAAAGGGAGAATCGAAGCGAATTTTGGTTGTGGGAGATTCCCAGGTGAGGTATTTAAACAGAACGTTTTGTGCCAGAGATAGGGGGAACAGATTAAGGGTTTGCTATCCGGGAGCTGGAATTGGTGATATTGTTGGAAACATGAATGATATTATGACGGGAAATAGAAACAAACCCATTATTTGTGTTAGTGCAGGGGGGTAATGATGTTGGGCGAGTAAGGAGTGAGGAACTAATACAGAGATTCAGGACAGCCATTGAATTAGTTAGGAGCAAGGGAGGAATCCCGATCATATGTGGCATTCTTCCAAGAAAGGGAGTGGGAAATGAATGGATGTCGAGGGCACTTGGTGTCAATTGCCGGCTGGAAAGATATTGCAAATCAAATGCAATATCTTTCATAGACAACTGGGAACACTTCAATGGAAGAAATGAAATGTATGCTCGTGATGGGGTGCATCAATCGAGGGCTGGGGTTGTTGCTGTTGCGAATTCGTTGGAAGAAGTGGTTAGAGGTGTTTGTTTGGGTTTAAACTGTTAGTAGATAGAGGTATGGGAATTGATTTGGAGGAAGGAGGTAATAAAAGTATGTGTTTGTGGGAGAAAGGAATTGGCAAAATGATCAGGGAAAGAGAAGGGCCTCAAAATAACAATTCATTTAGGGTATATTACACTAACAGTAGAAGTCTAAGAAATAAAATTAACGAATTAAATGCTCTTGTCTGCACAGAAAAAATAGATATTATTGCGCTTACCGAAACGTGGATGAATGTAGAAAATAGAGAACTATTAGCTGAATATCAAATAAATGAATTTAAACTATTTCACACAGATAGATATATTAGACGAGGAGGTGGAGTAGCCATATATGTTAGGGACAATTTGAAATGTAGTCTCAAAGAGGGAATCAAAACTGAGCCACACACAGAAACTATTTGGATAGAATTAAACGAAAAAGCTAATAATATTATAATAGGAGTTATATATAGGCCACCAAATTTAGACAGAATGTAAGCAAAGCATCTATGGGATGAAATATCTAGAGCATCTAGATCTAACAGTATTTATGTCATGGGTGATTTTAATTTTAGTGGAATAAACTGGTTGAACAAAACAGGGAATAGTGAAGCAGAAGATTTTCTAGAATTAATTGACGATTGCTTTCTTACGCAACACATTAAGGAACCAACACGGGAAAATAATATTTTAGATTTAGTGTTAACTAACAGGGAAACACAAATTAATGACATCGAAATAGGGAGTGATCTAGGGAACAGTGATCACAAAGAAATCAGATTTAGCATAGAATGGAATAGACATGTTGGAGAAAATTCTGTTACAGTGCCAGATTTTCGAAAAGCTGATTTTAATAGCCTAAGAAATTTTTTGGGTCAAATTGATTGGAAAGTCTTGGGTATGGGGTGTGGGCCGGTCTTGGAGCGAGACATGAACCCAGCGATAGGTGACTTAAATGGGGATTTCGATGTGGATTCAATATATAACTTATTTAAGAATATTCTAAACAAAGCACAGGAACGTAGTATACCATACAAATTGAATAGATCGAATACTAATGACACAAAGTGGATAACAAAGAATTTGAAGAAGCTTATAAGTAAAAAGAGAGCTTGGTACAAAAGGATTAAAAATGGGGAGGTCACTTTAGAACAGGAATTCGTACAACTGGTTAGAAATGTTAAAAAAGAGATAAGGAAAGCAAAAAGAAACTATGAAGTTCGCATAGCAGGGCAAGCAAAGACAAATCCTATAGGGTTTTTTTCAGTTATATCGTACTAAGACTAGGGAAAGGATAGGTCTATTAAAAACTGAGACAGGTCAAATAACAGATAATGATGAAGAGATGAGTAGTATTTTTAATAAATATTTTGTATCTGTATTTACTAAAGAGGAACTTAACAATATGCCTTCAGCCGAACAAGTCTATGTGGGTGGGGACGAGGACAGGTTGACGAGTTTAGCAGTTACCAGGGAGGATGTTCTTAAACAAATAGTAAAACTCAAACCAAACAAATCCCCAGGGCCGGATGAAGTGTTTGCCAGGGTGCTTAAAGAATGCAAAGAGGAGCTTTGTGACCCACTGTCAAACATATTTAATAAATCTATAGAGTCAGGCAGAGTGCCAGAGTTTTGGAAAGTTGCTAATGTGATACCAGTTTTTAAGAAAGGAGATAGATCAC